TGTGATGGATGCTGTGACGATGACGTTCTTTTTTTTTTCGCGATGATGAGGAGAGGCAATCGGTACTAGATGCAAAATCTATGCAATAGGTTGTATAGGACGAAACGATATTTCGTATGATTTAGCGAGGGGTGATCATTTTGGGCAATCGATCCTAGATTTAGTATTATTTTGGGTGATGTGATATTTCACATGATTTTGGGCAATCGATCCTAGAGGCAAAATTTTGCTTGCAATTCAGTATTTTGGGTGATGTGATATTTTAGGCGATTTTGAGTAATCGATCTTAGAGGCAAGATCGTGCTTGAAATTTAGTATTTTGGGTGATATGATATTTCATATGATTTAGCGAGGGGTGATCATTTTGGGCAATCGATCCTAGATTTAGTATTTTCCATGATATGATATTTCATATGATTTTGAGCAATCTATCTTAGAGGAAATATTTTGCTTGACATTTAGTATTTTGGACGATGTGATATCTCACATGATTTTGGGCAAGGATCCTAGAGGCAAGGAAATTTGGTATTTTGGAGGAAATGATGTTTCGTATGATTTAGCAAGGGGTTTTACGGTAAATTGTTGTAAGTAGTTGGTTCTTGAAGAATAAAGTAAAATAATTATTGACTATCGAGGGATGCTTGTTGAGAATGGGAATGAGATTACGCGATCGTAGGTTTGATAATAAAAAGATGCTCCTTATAATTTGGTGAGGTGTTTTGATACATTGTTATGAGAAATTGATTCGTAGAAAGTAGAATAGCAAAATTATAGTAATAATTAAGGGATTTTTATTGAGAATAGAAATAAGATCACGTGAGATGATTGTTTTCGAGAGGCAGTCGGTTTGATGAAAGAAATATTCTGATTTGGTGAAAGGTTCCGATGAACTGTTATGAGAGAGATTCTTGATAATGAGACACAGGAGACGTTAATGATTAAGGAAGTTTCAGCGAGATACAAGACGAAATCTTATGAGAGATTAGTTTCGAGATATATTATAAAAGGATGGATTTATGAAGGATAGATTATATTCCAAAATATAATGATAAAAAGATAAATTACTAAACTAAATACAATCAATTTCTGTAATTAAAAAATTTATTTATAGGTGATCTAAAAAAGTTTTGTTGAGAAAACAAAAGAAACGATCTAAGGTATTGGTTTTAGAACGCAGTAGGTTTAGTAATAGTCTATGATTTGGCAGTAACTTTTAATGAATTATTTTAAAAAGTTGTTTTAAACATAAAAGAATTGTAAATAATTAAGGAATTCTAGTTGAAATAATGAAACAGGATAGCGCTACACATTAATTTTCATATTTATTTATTTTTTAATTTTACACAAAATGAATGTTTCTCATGATTTTTCGAAAGATTTTATCAAAGAAAATTTATAATTGAATTGCTAGTATAAATAATATAATCATTGATGATTGAAGAATTCTAGTTAAATAAGGACATTAAATTGTGTGAAATTTTAATTTTAAAGTACAATAAATCGACTGATGACAGATACATTTTTTTCTATTTAGCAAAGGATTTTCATAAATTGTTGTAAGGTGGAACATTTACACATCCTTAAAGGATTAGGCTTGGTAGCGAATGGAAAATCTCTCGATCTAGGAAACGAGATCGTGCGAAATGGTTTCAAATCGTAGGTTTGACGATCAAAGAATGCTTCTTATAAGTTAGTGAGAGTTTTAATAAACAATAAACGAGAAGATATGCAAGTGGATCTTAGGTGATAGAGAAGTCTTGATTCGAAGCATGTCTAGTACTGTAACAATTTCCCTGGTAATTTGGTGAAAGGTCTGTGTAAATTATTATTCTGGGAAAGATTTATATCTGCGTATGAATAATTTGTTTGATATGGAACTACGTGAAAGACTTACAATTTAATCGTTCTAGAGAATTTCTTTCTCCCTTTGTCAATAATTTTGGTAAATTGTACGTGTAAACTGTAATATATGTATATACATAAATTATTTTCTTTAAGTTAAACTAAATATTATGTAAGAAGATGATATAAAATATAATGATTCATTATTCGAACGATTTCTTTCGTGATTGGATGAAAGGTGCCTACGAATTACTTTGAAAAATATTTATATTTGTATGTAAATTATTTCTATGAATTCTAATAGTTACATTTTATAACAAATCATTTTTCAAAATAATTGTTTCTAAGCTATATATTTTGCTTGACAATTTTGGATAGAAAATGACCAAATAATTACTTTATAAAAATTTGATTTAATAGTAAACGAGTTCCATTAGAGGAATTCTATTACTCGTACAAATTTAATTAGTAAAAATTTATACGTAACTCTTCTGCGTTATATATATTTCCATTAAGTGTTTTTTTTTTTTCTTTTATTCACAATGTTCCATACAAAATCGATTCGTAAAACAATTCAATTGCGATTCTGAAAAATACAATGAAATATGAGAAACAAGTACTTACTTACACTTCTGTTCAATCCTTTAATATTTACACCTTTTAAAAATGAAATTATTGTTGAAAGTTATTGAATAATTTCCCTCCATTTAATTGGTAATACAATGAAATTGTTTAAGAATAGTTCACATATGTAAATATAACAGTGGTAAACTAACCTTAAAGAATTACACCATAAAAGTCACTAATCGAAATCAATCTATTTATGTAGCACTATTGTACAATCGCTCTAGACTAATAATTTGATCACAATTTCAATTCAAATTTCACATTTCAAACAAACAATTACGCCGCAATTACGCAAATCTCGCATTCAAATTAATGCGATGATTCAATCCACGGTGGAGATGATGCTTACACCGGGTAACAGTGTAAAATAAGTGGTCGTGTGTAGTTAACAACGTAACTGTAAAAGATACACGTTTACGTGTGAAAGTCTTGCTCGTTGTCCAGTGGAAATATCATTTCGAACAGGTGAAAAACCACTGTTCCTCTGGCCGATTCGTATTCGACCAGTTGTAACAATTGTAGCATTTAGCGCACGCCATGAGGATTCCCATGCGTGTTGGCTAGCAATTTATCGCGATTCCTCGGCAGATAGCGCGCGGATTCTTTTCCGGTCAGAAATTTACCGTGCACGCTGGTTTCGTCTACCGTGAAATATTCAGCGTGTAGTAACGTCGATAAAGTCCACAATGTTTCTTAGAATTTTACAAACAGATTTACGCACTGAATATGTTAAAAGTGTGAAGCAAAGAGGAGGCTATTAATTATAAGGTGGGTGGGTCTGTTTACAATAAGTGAATGAAACGATAAAGAGAAAAAGTAATAGGTGGAAAATTAAGTACATGGTAAGTGGTGGTAAAGATAGTTTCGTTGTGTTTAAGAGTACATAATACGTTGCCAGTTTACATCTGGCATAGAGAATTAGAAATAGAGAATGTATTCACGTTAGTTTTCATTCAGTTACAAAGTTGTATACAATTAGAAATGAAAGTTGGTACAAAAATTCAGTAGCTAAACTGCATTTCGATATAACCTTTCACGGTTTTTTTTTTCTATTAGAAACTAGTGTAATATTGATTTTATTAAATATAAGCTGAATCAAATATAAAACTAAAGTATAATTTTAGAATCTTTATTCCGACATACTAATTTTCATTTCTTCGATAAATTTATGTTTATCTAAATGAAAGGAATAATAAAATTCTGATAACGAATACACTGTATCATATTTCTCAATCTTTCGATAGTTTTATCGAAACATTTGCACATTGATTTTCTTTATTTTTTCGAAATTCTTTGCCATTTCCTGGTATTACTTAAAAAAAAAAAAAAAACGGAGGGGAAAATGCTTTAACGTTACTAGAACCGTATGATGACATCGACAACAAATTCTTCATATAAAAACTGTAGACACATGGTGTCTCGCTCAACGAATGCGGAATCAAATGAAAGTCCAGTTTATTCTTTCAAAATATCTCCGGTTTGTCCACGGAACAAGGACGAGTTCGTGTTACTTCAAGGTCGCTGCACATCGTGAACCACAGAATTTTTCCGGGCTGGCCGTCTTAACTGTACTTGATTTACAGACATTGAACGTCGAGTTGTATTTTCCTTGGCCAGCAAACGTAACAGGGTCAATTTACGATGCGTTTCAGGTAACTGCAACGGCTGAGTTTATTGAGCTATCGCCAGAGACGATGTTGAAAAACGAAAGGACACGTATCGTTAAATAATATTACGTGAAATCGTTGTTGCGTTTATTCTGAAAGTTTTCGAAAGTTTTATGACAATTCGCTTTCAATCTTCGTTCAAACACCCGGTTCTTCCTCACACCGGTCGAACGTGTTACTGATTATATTCGAATTTCAGACGGCAAACTGGTTAATATACTAAATTGTTGTATTAATTGTAATTGATAAGAAAGAAACTGTTATTGGAATTGGTACTGTGATCGAATTTTACAGTTAAAATTAACTCGAAATGTTAGTAGCAGTATTATGTTAATTCTAAGATACAGATGCTGAAATGATTTTTCTAGAATCAACCGACGATATTCAACGACTTGCGTCATTTTACTATATCTGCTCTAATACAAGCCATTACATTAATTTAATTTACTAATAAAATCAAGAATTTTTCAGTGAGCTGTGAGTGAGTGAGTAAGTGTGTGAATGAGTAAGCGTGTGAGTGAGTGAGTGTCTTAATGAGAGAGTAAGTGTGTGAGTAAATGAGTGAGTGAGTGCGTGAGTGTGTGTGCGAATGAGTGAGTAAGGGAGTAAATGAGTCTGTGTGTGTGTAAGACTAAAATGTAGAACCAAGCTATCTGTTACTATTAAACTATCTTCTCTTTCAGATAAGCTAAGCTATTCTCACTGTCTCGTTCGATGTTTTAATATCAAAGCAAAGACTTTATTTCAATAGAATATTACTTTACGATATAACTATCTCTGAATAGAAATCGAACGTACTCTCCTACCGCAATCTGGTCACCGTTGGACGGTTATCAACGTAATTCTTGCTTGCTTAATTTACAGATCGTTGGGATTCAACGGACTGTGTCAACCGGATCAGCGACTACAGCGTCTATTGACCTTTATCGAACCACGTGCACAGCATAATCACGAAGACTCGCTATGAATCAACTGAAAAAAATCTACTTAAAAATGTCGCTTCAAATTTAACCTAACCTCAAACGTTCACATTAAAAGACATCTACAACACGCGCCTACTAATCCAAACATTTCAATCATCAACGTGAATAATAATAAAGCAGAAAAATTAAAAAAAAAGAAAAAGAAGATAATTCATAATCATTGCTAGTATTAAAAGAACTTTGAAAATTACATAAAATATAAACTACGTGGGGAAAAAAGAGAACAAATACAGCAGAGCAAGTAACGAAGAAAAGAAAGAAAAAGAAAAAAAAAGAGAATTGGTATAATGAGCGATAAAAGTTGAACGAGAGAAAACGTCCCTGAACGTTCAAAAGCGAAGAAACAACGAGGAACAGGTGTGTATGTTTATATGCAGTAATGCGATTAGAAACATCCTTCTGAACGAAGAGAGACGAAGAAGCATGGAGGACGCAGCGATTGCGCTTGACTCGACGGTCAGAAGTCAGAATTCGAGCAACTCGAAGGAGTCGAAGGAATCGAGTACATCGGATTCGAAGCCGGAAAGCTGTCTGGAATCGAAGCACTCGAAGGAGATCCTGATTTCTGAGAAACAGCAACGACAGCAGCAACCGCACACGCAACAACATCCGAATGATCGGCAGAAGTTGAGGAACGTAGAGTCTAAGGATGAAACGAATCTTCTCATGTTCACTTCTTGTGGACAGTTGCTTCTTGGTAAGTCAAATTTTAGAGATTTATTAAAATTATTGACAGTGATACATGAAAAAGTATAATAAGTTTTTCGTAAATTTCATTGCAGACAATCGAAAGGATATGTAATCTCTTTGAAATACGATAATTACAGAATTTTGGTAAACTTTTGTTTGACGAATTAATCCTTTGCGCTTGGAAGAGGAGGTAAAAGTGTATTTGAAACTAACGCAATTGAAACTGTGATTTTGAAACTAACGTAATTGGAACGATAATAGTTGTGAAATGATATTTCTTCAATTATGCAGTACTATTTGTAATAATTCACTTACGTCATTTGAATGTAAGGAAATTAGAAATACTATTTTGTTAGGTTGTAACAATTGTTTCCACAATACGCGAATAATAATAATAGTACAATTGACAGTTGAAAAGTCGACAGTTGTCGGTCGTCTGGTAACGGTGATCATGGAAACCTGTTTTATCGAAGCTAATCTATTTAATAACTTCACGGTAAACGTGTTAAGCAAGCAATTTAGTTCCAAACAGATAGTAAATTCCAGATTAATTATACGCGATCTGCGATAGTAAAGATTATTCAAATTAATCTGAATATATTATCCGCACAAATTCTCTCGCGTGTCCTTGATGATACATCTTATTAAGAAAACGCTTCTTAAGTAACCTAAAGCTAAAACAACACTGATTCGTGCAAAAAGTGAAAAAACACAGTTCCATCTAAATGTCTGCACAATTTTTCTTAGGAAATTGTAGCAATAAAATGTAAATGCAAGCAAAAACGAGGCAGCTATAAGGAAGTAAAATATCTAGTAATTCAAAAACCATATATAAAACGTCTGAAATAAAGAATTCTTTTTGATTGATAAATAAACAATTATTACCTACAGTCTAGCGTACAGTTTTATGGATATCTCTATTATTTAATTTTGTAGAAATGTTCAAAGGTAATTTTTTACGCAATTAGCGAATAACTCCTCCGTTTTGCAACATTTCTACTTTTTAAAAATTGGAGAAAAAAGTTGAAAGTTACGTTTATGTCCTCTTAAAATATTGAAACTTTTCATATAGCAGTTACCTGTGAAAAAAATTCCCAAAGTTTACCTATTTTTAAACGCCTCAAGGTGCCTCGAGTTTGATATTCCACTGAAAGAAGTATTCTTTTATTTCCTATCTCATTAAAACGGATCCCAACCATATAAAAATTCCCAAAGTTTACCTATTTTTAAACGCCTCAAGGTGGTGAATGCGATAATGTGGTTTCTACTTTCGCGTAATGTCTTGATTGTTTTGAGCTTCTGTAAACGAAGGATGTACGAATTTCCATTGCGCGCCCACTGAGCAGACATTTCTCCAAACTGCATAGAAATCGGTGTAAAAGTGAAAACATTTCACTTAGAAAGTCATACTTGTGTAACTCTTCCCGTGCGTTTGAAAACCGTAAAGAATCGTTAACACTGCAATTCATTGTGATTCGATGTCCTCCGGTGACACTCTAATAATTACAATTATTACAATGTTCATACGCAATCTGCTATTTATACAGAAGACAAAGACGAATGTCATTTCAGAAGGAAACTGTTATTTCATAGTTTTCTTTATAGTTTACCAGCACTCGCTTCATGTACATATATTTAATATATATTAAAAACCGAAATGGCTACATTTAAAGAGACCAATATTTCTTTTGACTGTTCGAATAAAATAAGAGGAAATGAAACTATTTACACTGATTATTTATAATGTCTTGAATTAAAGAGAATTCCATCTTCGATCCAATTAGAACAAAAATACTTCATATTTTTCGCATTAGTCACGTCAGTGTTTTATTTTAACGAAACGTATCAAAACTTCATTGTCAATGATAAATTCGTACAAGTGTCGAGAAAATTGGAAAATGCTAGAATGCTGGAAGAACCAGAAAAATTACTTCTACTTATCATTGTGAAATAAAAACCGCTTTTATCTGCAATTGTTATAACTGAAATTAAAAAATTCGTCCTTCTTCCATGTTAGTTTCAGTTTTAATCAGAAGTATCCATTATATTAAAACAAATTACAAAATAATACCTTGTTTTGTACTTATCTAGTTCGAAATATATTTTACGATATCCTTCTAATTTTTATAGAAAATAATATTCTTATAATATTTTAATTATTCTTCAATTTGATTAAGAAGAAAATTTCATTCTCTCTAGGCATAGTCCTCGTCGTGTTTGGGATCCTGGTATTAGTTCACGGGGCTGCATTAGGTGGTTCCGGTGCTGGATTATGGGCAGGTGTGGGTGCACTTGTCGCAGGAGCGTTGGGTGTTGTCGCCACGCTTGCAACATCGTCGAGCAAGACGAATTCCAGCTTTTCGACGGCTCACCTTGCAGCAAGCCTGATTGCCCTTGCCCTTTCGAATATGGCTGCAATTACAGCCTTGACTGCCATCGTCAGGGACTCTCAGAGGACACCGGAAGTGACCTTGCTCACTGTTCCGGTACGTATTGTCTGTACTTTCACCGGTACCCTCTTTTCCTTATGAATGTTACTCTATGATTGCAACACTAGCAAAGTATTACTTTCTTCAATGGATTTTCCTATGCAATTTTTGCTCATTTCTATTTTGTTTTTTTAATTCGTGAAATTTTATGCATAATACGAAGTAAATATTGCAGTAATGTGAACAGAGGAATAATATTAAAAGTAAAAACTAAATTAACACTTAAAAAAAATCCACTGCGATGGCCGGGAATCGAACCCGGATCAACTGCTTGGAAGGCAACTATGCTGACCATTACACCACCATCGCAGTTTATATGTACAGAACGTATACTGCATGTTACGGGTATTATATTCGAAAGGATTATTTCTATTATAATTTCAATGATAAAATAAAATTAAAATTAAAATGGAAGTCTATAAAAGTTCTATTTAAACGAGAAATTTAATTTTACAAATAAGTTTTATAAAAACTAAAAGTTATATAGTGCTTTAAATAATTCGAAAATTATTTACACGACCAGTCTTACTTTTCATTATAACATTCAGTATTTTTTTACGCGAATCAAATGTTCTCTAAATAAAAGTATCACAAATACTAAATTTCTATTGAGAACGTAGCACGTTTAATTATAATTCAATTAAATCCTTATTACTCTGTACAAATTGATTCATTATCTAAAATTTGACTGGTCACTTTTTCAAAAGAAAATGATCGAAATAGTTTATTCCGTTTACTATTCTAATAGTATCTATTTACATACTGTTAATTTCCTCTGTTGCTCCTACAAGAAAGTTATTCATCGTTGAATATTTGCATAAATATTTATGTCAACATTTCACTAGTTTTCACGTAACTATTACTTAAGTTATCACATCCTCGGTGATAACGAAGATTTTCACTCCGCGGATTGCATTAGCGATTGCTGAAGATACATATTATAACGCGAAGGTACCAATTACGATCAATCATTAACGAAGCGATAAGTATAATTCAACGCCCGGGGATATTCTGTTGTCGCGTGCCTATTCCACGTACAGCTACTAAGAAGTTAACGGTGACTTCGTCGGAAAATTATTACCGTGCTATCTCTGTATGCTCTATGAACAGAAAACCAGGATTGCAGGAATCGATAAAAATTCCCCTGTACCAATAAACAAACTGATATTAACCTAGCAAAGACCACCATGTTCTGCGATTCTAGAGGTGTACTTACACTGCCGTTCGTAAGTATTAAAACACCCATTATGTTCGTGTAGAAAGTTATATGATTTAAATTACATTTCCTCGCCGAAGTTAGCCGAGATTTCAGAATGATTGTTACAGTTACTTAGGATTTTATAACTTTGCAATAAATTTTGTCAAATAATTTTATGTTGAAGTTGTAATGACAGTGAGGCTTGCTTTAAGTTCAGTAAGTGGATTTTAGTAGATTTCAGTAGATTTTAGAAGATTTCAGCAGAGTTCAGCAGATTTCAGTATACTTCACATTCGGCGAGTGTCTTAACGCTTATGAATGGAAGTGTATGTAAATACATTTGCGTAACTCTTTGAATGGAAACGTAACGTGAGCTATCCTATTTTGCATTTCATCATCGTTAATTGGAAAGATACGCAATATTGTATATACATGATCTTCCCTATCTGTGATCTCATTAGAAGAAATGTACATACATATAATTACACGAATATAAATTTGCTGTAAATTGTACTACTTTGTATAGGGGTATATTATTTGTTTTCTTCCTTTTCCTTTTTTGCCAGCAGATTTTATTCAATTTTTATGCTTATGTAATTTTACATAGTCTCCGTTAAATACATACAGATGGAAATAGAGATGCATAACTTTATGAATGCAAATGAAATGTAGACTTTCCTATTTTGCACGCGATTATCTATAAGTCGAATCGACACGTAACTCTGTGCCTAAATATGTGTATATATAACTGTAAATATTATTTTATAATTTCTAATCATTTTCCAATACGTATATTAACCCCTTAACACATGATTTTTTTTCCTGACTGTGCATCTAAGCGTCAGCTATTTACTATTCTCGTACTATATTAAGTAAGAAAAGCTAATGTATTATAGATTAATGAAATTTCATAAATTAAATAGAAAATTGAAATTGAAATGAATTTTTAGCACCGATATAACTGTTTCTATCAGATTTTCACCAAAATCTGTGGCACGAGTCTGACTCGTTACTATACGGCAAAGTGTTAAACCAACAACAACTAATAGCTCTGCCCTGATAATCACAACGGAAAAATTGTCTAATTTCCATCCTTCGGATTTCTCTTGCCTCTCCATCATTGTACAACAGAATGTTCGAACAGTACCAAAGATCGGTTGTGACAACGTCGACGGTGACGAACGATGGCTATCGCTGATCGGTACATAGCCCAATTAGTAAGCGGCACCAGTGGCCTAAATTCGTTTCTGATCGTTTTCTCATCCACTGGTCGAATCGGCGGGTTTCGGCGAGGCAGACCAACCGGAACAGGGCCGTTGGAACCATTTGACCGCCAGAGAAAGTTTCCAATGCCAAGGCTAAAACGCGGTCAGGGCACACAGCATCGTGAAATTTCACAGATTGCTTCACCTCTCAATCCCGATGGAACGCGCCTCTTCCGGTCGATGATCTATTGCGAAACGTTTCGAGACACGCTAAACGTGGATCTAGAAAACGTTCGTGAAAGAATCGAGCGCAGAATTGACGTTAAAACGGAGGTTTAATCATTTTAGAATTGGTAAATTCTATTTGCGACAAACGAATCTTTCTAAATACCGAATTTTCCATTTTTATTTGATAAAAAGGAAACAATAATTATGATTGATGTTGTTATCTAAGAGCACTTTAATTATTGCGTATAATTTAAAAACGTCCGAATTTTTATCTTACACTTATAAAGCGGTATTCAAATGTTGATCCTGCTGCTTATGGTACACTTGATGGTATACACAGAATGAGACTACAAGAACAATAGAAATTGAAAATAATAGCGTGCTACAGTAACCGTACGTGAAAAGTGAATATTTCTTTATTCGCTTTGTATACCAGCGCATTACCTAAATTATACGTATAATTCAGATGTAAATGTAGCTTTGTATTCAGTGGCAAAATATTTGCCCATTCATATGCTGAAAGGTCTACCTTGCAAATGTTAAATTTGCCAACTTTATGTATCTTTTTCTCAAAAACCGTTGTACATACTTCCTACAAATTTTTCTCACGTGTTTTTTAAATCATGTTCATGCATATTCATACGATAGAATTTAGAAATATTACTTGAAAGCAGAAATACGATTTCTCAAACAATACCTATTTTTCTTTAACTTTTTTAATAAGAAAATGTTGCTATTAACGAACGAAAAAATTCTGCTAAAATTCTGACTTTCCCCGTGGGCTCGGAACGCCGTTAAGTAAATAATTTGCAATCACATTCTTCCTACCCGCCGTTTATTTCATTCACATTTCAATTCTACACTAACATTTCTATGTAACAATTTCATTTCGATCGCAATAATCTTAATCTCCCTATTACAACTAATTTACTGTGACCTACAGTGTAGCCCTTCGAGTCGCGTCTTACTTTCTAATAGTTCCGCTACAAGTGCCAGAGGCACTTTTGGTGAAAACGAGGAGTGTAGAACGGACAAGCACTAAAAAACTTATACACAAAGTTAAATTTACTTTTTTACTCACTTTCAATCCTGCAGACATGCAGAAAAAAATTATTGCTTCCAGTTCTAAGAAGCGCTATCGGGTTTGTGACACTTTTTCTTTACCTTGCGAACGAACGGCATCGCAATCCTCGGCGCTCAAAGGATTACGAAAGTAACACGAAGCTATAGCAACTATAACGACCAAAAGAAAACATTATCGTCGCTATTATTAACGTCTTTATTACATATAAAACGAGGAGAGAAAAACAGAAACATTAAAAAAGAATAGTAACAAACATACACTTCTGTTTATAAGTATCGAGGCACTGTGTATGTGAAGCAAACTTAGATATAAAGGGTGGGTCACGTTAAAACAAGCCACCTAATTATCTTCTCTAGCTATGGCGGTACAAGAAAATTTGTACACGTAATTTAAATGATTTGGAAGGGAGAATAAAGTGGGGAAAAAATTGTTTTGATAGAAAAATGGAAGTTTCACGTTTGATTTAAAATTTCAGAGTCCGTGATCATTTTAACATCGTATTCTTATACACCCTTAAATGCACGTCAATGTCTGCTACAGCATACAGTAGAAAAAAACATAGGTAACTTTGAGAAAGAACAGAAAGAAATGACATTTATAAAAAAAGGAATTTCTTTCATCTTATTCACTCTTTGAAACCATTTAAATTACGTATAAAACTTTTCTCGTACCTAACCATAGCTGAAGAAGATAATTAGGTGACCTGTTTCACATGGGCCACTCTGAAAAAATACGATTGAACCGTTTGACAATGTTACAGGGTGACGGAGGTACAGCGGAAGTGGAGGGTGGCTGGGCGGGGTTGCTCGCAAGCATTGGTTTGCTAGTGACCAGCGTGGCCGAACTATTGGTCTCCGGCTACAGCTGTCTGACCTTGACCCCGAAGCTGTGCGGATGTCTGCGTGGCAATAACGTGGACGAAGTGGCGAACGACGGCCGTCTGAAGACCCGCAATATGGTCCATCAGTGGGTCACCGCGCAGAACCACGTGCCGAAGAGCCAGCCAATTTACGTAGTGCAGCCGATGCTACAGATGCACCCGATGATCCAGGTGAGGCCGGATCCTCTCCCACGACCCTACGTTTGCGGCTACTACGGGCCGACCTCCTGCAAATTGGAGGTAGGGATAGGTCAGTGACACCCGAGCTAGAAAGTTCAGACGACGGAGCGTTGAGAGAAACTCGTCGTTGAGCCGCCGCTTCGGGCGTTCTTCGTGCCTACATTTCGGAGATGCACGAGCTCGATGCAGGTGTTTCTGTGTCAGCAGGATAAGCCACTAGCTGCTGTCGCTTTTCGGATTCCCTCCGAGCCGGGGGAATGCTTCCAGCAGAGTATGCGCTTGCTTGCGGTTCAGATGGTTGCAAGATTCTTGCGGTGGATGGTAGTAATCGGATGGTTTGAATGAAAATGCCTGGTATGCTCTCTGGTTGGTGGATTTTGTATATGATGAGGTACGATGTTGCTTTGTTTGGCGGTTGGATGATGCGGTTAGGAAGAGGTTAACACGTTCACCGCTAATGGGACTTTCGCTGTATACTGTCGGTTTGCTGGAAGAGTGGCACGTTTGAAAAATCATTCATTTTCAGATATCTCCAGAAAGTAACTGTAAAAATGGAGTTATTTTTATCTGAAATTAAAATTAAAATTATACTGTTTAACAAGAACAATGTGACAATTCGGAAGAGTCACTTTTTAAATATAAATTAGTAAATTCATTTAGTTCTTCTAGCAAAGTGACGATATAATATATGCTAACAAATAATTAGTATTTCTCTGTTGTAAAGCTTTATATATGTGCTTTACGCGAATTATTCTGAATGGTTTTTTTTTGTGTTTCGAAATTTCGTGATTTTTAATATACGTCCCGCACAAGTGTGACATAAATACGAATTGCACGCAGTGAGCGTGTTAATAGAGACTCGATGACGAACGACTTAGGATGACTGAAGATGTAGATGATAGATTTGATAGTTACAATTGTAATATCCAGTAAGGTTACAAGTGTTGTTCATTTATTTATCCTTTTTCTTTCTTTTCTTTTTTACGATTGAATGATGTGATTGAAAGGAGGCTGATGCTTGATGGAATATTGATGACAGGTGAGTTAGAGTGAATGGGTACGTAGTTGTATTTAATGATTATGATGTTTGTAGACGTTAGATGAAGTGCACGATTTGCAATAGATGGAGATTGATTGATGTTCTTTTGTAATTTAAAGATGCTTCAGGGAATAGGTCAACAGTGCGATGTAATCTATGTCACGCAAAATATTTCACTCCTTGAAAGCGTTATGAACTAATAAATTGAATATAATCGAGACAGTTTAATTAACTATTTATCTTTCTTTTCAAATAATTTTTATAGCTTAGTTCTTTTTTTTTTTCTTTGTATCTTATGAAAACAATTACTCCTGGCAGTTTATAGTAGTCCCTTTTCAATTCATATGAAATACTTACTTCGTGCTTAAAGTCAACGTCTTCCACGTAAAAGCCAAGTGCATAAAAAGGAACAAAATAGAAGACGAAAGAGTTTCTTTCGAATAATGAAAATAAGTTTCAAAGGAAACAATTTTTTGAACAGATAAATGGTATGTTGTAAATGATCATTTTAGAGCAATTACCACTGCTTACACGCAATGACACAATTTCTAGGAACATATACAAGGTGTTTCGTTTATCTTGTTCATCTTTATATCTCCGACACTTTTCGCGACACAAAAAGTATGTCAAGAAAGAGTTGTCCGTTTTAGTAGGACAAATATCGTGACTGACGACTTCAACCTTCAAGGTCATATTTTTTTTTTTTTTTTGTATTTTGAAAGTCATGGGGTCTTTTTATTGTTATCAGATTGATATGACTGACGAAAAGTTGAATTCAAACGTGTGTAGTACATCGACTATCAGATGAGGTGAAATGAAGAAAAATCATTATTGTTCGATAAAAACATAAAACTTAAAGATGAAGATCTTTTTTTTAGGAGATGCGCTACTCGAACGGAGGTACTTCTACGTTGAAAAATCAACGAAAAATGTAGAATGACATTTTCTTGCACGAAGCTTCTTTTTTGGAATAAATTGACGTTGAAAGTTCATCAAGTACATAGAGCATAATTGCATTTGCAAGAAAATGAGAATTACTTGTAACAATTTTTATATCAATAAAAAAAACAACTCCGTGAATTTTCGACGCCAATTTACTCAAAAAAGAAAGATCATATGAAAAAATGTTCGCTCTACATTATCGACTTATTTTTTCACGTAGAACCAATTTGTGATAAGAACCTCTATAAAATGATAATGAAATAACAGTAGTAAGAAGTTTCTTTTTTTCTTTCTTATTATAGTCACCTTACGCGATGTCTGCCGCTCCTGCAAAGTTTCCTGGAGGATTTATGCCCGCTGGACCTCTGCCAATAGCTACTCCAGCTTATGGTGCCGTTCCTATGTTACCGCACATGCCATACGCAGCGCGTCCTCCATCGCAAATTGTAAGCATACTCGTTACAATACTTCGTATTCCAGTCACAATCCACGCGAGGAGTTATCGCCATGTTCAAATAACCGTCGATATCTCCGACGCTGATTTGGCAGTCAAGAATGGAATGCTGTTTCTCTTTGCATATAATTGTGTAACCGTGGAAAAAGTTCCTGGAACGCTTGATAACGCTCGAACTTGTCTCCTGTAATTCCATTCGAAACGCTTCTCGTTTAGGAGATTTTAGAATCTGTGAAAGCGAAGCGTAACGAATTCCATCGTATAAGGTTTATAGACAGTAAATCTTATATGTCTGAAAAAAAAAAAACAATTTTTCTCTTGTGTAAAATGTTATATATGTGGACAAATAAAACACTGTTACACATTTACTTAATGAGTCCGATTTCACCCATTAACAATCATAGAAACTCTAAAAAAAACTAATGAAGTATTTAAATACACAAATATATAAATATAAATGTACCAATCGTTATATTTTAGTAATGCATATTTATCATGGACACCTGATTATAAGCAAAATAATTTCCTTAGTTTAAAATTATTTCCATTTTGAAACAATTGTTAAAATAATAATAATTACAGATTCGTCCAAAGCAGAAACGTCATTTGCCTGTAGAACAAGAAGAAACTGTAGAGAGGAAAAAACAAACTGAGGGTAAAACAGAGTCTTCAAAAAGGATGTCCTCTATAGGGGAAGATCAAGTGGATCTAGCACAAACATACACAGGATTGGACAAAAAAATATCAGAGGAATTTATTTCAATTGCCATGGACCCAGAAAGGAAGTCAAAAGCTTCTAGTAGTCATGGTAGTGAAATCGGTACCACGAAAAACTGTTGAAAATATGATATTTACATTTTTAAATGGCATGGTATTACTGTCAGAATAAGTTTAAAAAATTATGTACATTTACAGACGTAAATGTACATAATTTAGCATTAAAAAAAATTGTCAACGTTTTGAAAACACGTTTAATCTTCGTTTTAGTACTCTGTAAGCCATTCAAAGATTTCGCTCGAGGCTTTATTTCTGCAGTTTCTGAAACATTTTGTTCCATCATTATATCAGTTTGTTACATCGTTACAAGTATTCACAGATACGCATTGAGATTTTAATTAATCGCTGTTGTAGATGTTAATTAATGACCTTTGACAGCTTGAATTATTCAGATGCAATCTGCTTTAAGCAGAAAGTAGGTACATATTGCTGTGTTTCTG